AAGGCATTTGATAACCTCCATGGAACTTATGCACAGAGAAGTGAAATTTCAGCTACATTCAGCCAGTTCACACCATGCCAGCCCCCGAGCTGCATGGAGGACTGCCATGCAGACCCCCTCCCCGCCCCAAGCACTAAAGAAGGAACATCCTGATCGGACCATGATCAGTCCTGGCATCTTCACCCAGCAAGGTATGGGTGCTAACGCCCTCCTGGCATTTGTCCTGCAGTGGTGTGTAGGTAGAAAGTAGCTGCCACGCTAGTAGCTGCCTTGACTTTGTCCAGCACCCCCTTTTCTAAAGGCATCCAACTTGGTGGTGATCACTTCTAATGCACCAAGCATGATCCTCCTTGTCTGGGCTCAGCACCCAGGGATTGTTCCTGCGGAGCTGCCCAGAAACTTCATCCCAGACTCCTCTTCCATGCACCCTGGAGGGTCCACACCGAAGGTCTTGTGCTGGTAGAAGGAAACATTTCCACATTAGAAGATCTGAACCATCTTGGGCTGCCTCAGAAGCAGCCTGGAGACGAGATGGAGTCCAGCCTTGAAGACGCTTCCGTCTTTGTGCCCGCAAGGAGGGGGGCATAGGCAGCTCCCACAAATCACACAGAAAAAATAGCACGAGCTGAAATGGTAGCCTCCCTGGGCCGGTCATGAGGCCCCCAAGTTATGTTTGTGCAGAGTTCCAGTTCTTATGATTCTGGCACATCCTGGAGGGTCCATGGCCTCGGCCACTCACTCGGGTGTCCTCTTCCTGGGGCTGGAAAGCCTGGCTTGAGCATTGGCCCCAGGGGGTCTTGTCCATTCTCCCCTTCAGCTCACGCCCTTCTCCCAGCGCCTTTGTCAAAGACCGGCACATCTTGGTGTGCCAATGTGGAGAAACAAGAATAACTCTGGGGAAGCCAGGCAGCTCCTGGACTTTCCCAGCCTGTGATCCTGTGAAGACTCTGGCCACATTCCCACAAAACCAAGCCTGGAACATTGTGAACTAACCCACCGTTTTCACTTACAGAAGGGACAGACCTGTCAGCTGCACACACCCTGTTGTGCAGCTAGAAACTAGTTGAAGAACCACAGTCAGCAGCTCAATGCAACAAAGCAATAACTAAATTGCATAACGTCAAACTTCACGGCAGCCTCACGGGTTGTGTGAACTCACCCTCCCGAGATCGGCGGGCCCAACCCGAGCTCCCTCCCCGCGCGAGGCGGAGCTGCTCCGGAGCGCCTCCCCGCCCGCCCGCGGCGCCCTTCCAGATGGGCCGGCCCTGCCCGGCCGCGGAGGATGGGAGCCGAGGTCCGCGCCAGTCGGTTGCCTGCTGCGCGCCGGGAGGGCGGCCTGCGGGGGTCGAGGCGGCTGCGCGCTCACGAGCACGAGCCGCGGGGTGGGCTGGCCGAGCGGCCTCGGAAGCAGCTCGCCTCGCCTCGCCTCCACGCCCGATGGAGGCTGCCCGGCTGCTGGCGCTGCTGCTGGCGCTGCTGAGCCTCTGCTCCGCGGCCGAAGGTGCGTCGCTTGCGCGGAGCCGGGCCGGGCAGGAGGGCGGGCGGGCGGGCGGGCGGAGCGGGGGCTCCGGGGCCGGGACGCCGCCAGCTGGCGCGGGCTTTCTTTCGTGCTGGCGCTTTTGCCCGCGTTGGGCGCCACTTCCCCCATTCTCACGTGCGGTTTGCACGGGTCTGGTAGTTGGCGCGGCGTGGCGCTTCCCAGACGCGCCCTCGTGGGCAGGTGGGCTGCTCGGCCCCGGGCGGTTGACTTGCGGATAGCGCTCTGGGCGCAGGGCGGCGGACAAAGCGACGCAGGAAAGAACGGGGGTGCACTCTGCACGTGCCCAGAGGCAGCACGCGCGGAAGGCACACGAGGACCCCCCCCACACCCGTGGTGAAAGCTCCTGAATACGCATGCCCGGCCCTCCGCACGGGGCGGGGTGGGCAGGATGACGTGCCTGTTTTCCTCCCGAGTCCCCGCCCTCCTCGGCTCGGGATTGGCGCGTCGTTTCCAGGCCCGCCCTCGGCGTAGCGACGGACCCCTCCGGGGTGATGTCATCCCAGCCGCATCGCTCCGTGGAGTAAACAACCTGGCCCCGCCCCCGGCACGTGGCCTGCCCTGCGGGGCGGGGGCATCCGCGGCGAAGCCCCGCCCCCCGCCCAGGTCCCTGGACCGGCCGCCCCGGAACCTCCAGCCGGGACCCGCCGAGCCGAGCCGCGGCGGGCGGCGCCCTGCGGACCGGGTGGCCTCCGTCCCCGGTTGGGCTGCCTGAAAGGGGCCCGGGCAGCGCCGGCGCGGAGTTGGGCTCCTCCGGGGGTCGCGGGCCTTTCTCAGGCAGCCCGAGGGGGAGCTGCCGAAGCGCCGCGGGGCTTCTGGCCCGACTGGACTCCCGCCGCCGCCTCTGCCCTGCCTGGGCAACCATTAGCCCAGTGTTTCTCAACCTGGGCCACTTTCAGATTTGTGGACTTCAATTCCCAGAATTCCCCAGCCAGAATAGCTGGCTGAGGAATTCTGGGAGTTGAAGTCTACCCATTTTAAAGTGGTCCAGGTTGAGAAACATTGCATTCGCCTGACGTGGTCGAGGGTCTCCCGCCTTGAGCAGGGGGCTGGACTAGAAGACCTCCCAGGCCCCTTCCGACCCTCCTCTTCTATGATTCCTCGGCAGATTCCACCGCCGCCTCGCCGGGCTCGCCGGCCCTGCCTACCCGGACGCCCGCCGCCCAGGAGCCGCCTGAAGAAGCCTTGGAGGCCGCGCGGGGCGAGTCGGGCGCGGTGCAGCCGGTGGTGGGCATCAGCCAGAGGGTCAAGACGAAGCCGGGCGAGAAGAAGGACCTGGGCACGCTGGGTGAGCGGCGCGCTTGGGGGGCGTCCCTGGAGCGGCTCCCGGGACCCCGGTGAGGCTCTCCTGCGCTCCTGGCTTCTCCGGGAGCGCTTTCCGAGGTCCTGGATTGCGCGCGCGCGCGCGCGCGCGCACACACACACACACACACACACACACACACACACACACACACACACACACACACACACACACACACACACCCCTGCAGAGTGGCCGCTGCTACTCCTTTGCCCTCTTGGGGAGGGCTACAACCTAGAAGGTGCACAGGCTCAGATTGGGGGGGGGGCACTAACCTCCTCACTGCTTTCTCTTTTCCACCATAGGCTATGTGTTGGGCATTATCATGGTGGTAGTCCTCATTGGCATCGGAGTGGGGATTGTGGTGGGATACCTGTACAAGAGGCAAGTACCGGGGAGCAGCCCTTTATTCCCAGGGGGTTGGGGATGGGGGGCACCTAATAAATGGACACTTCAGCCTCAGCATCCATCTTGTCTGGAAAGGAAGTGCGTGCGGGTTACAGGGTGTGTTGTCTTTGTGTGTCTTTTCCTGTTTTAAGGTCTGTTGTGCCTGTGTGCGTCTCTCTCTATGCAATACTTGCCTTTGGTTAAATAGTTTCCTTGAGTTTTCTGAGGTTTTGCATGTGGGGCTCAGACCCACTTTGGTCTTATTTGAGTGGGGGGCTTTTTTGTTCTCTCATGAGGCAGAACTTTTGGGAATTGGTCAGAAACCCACTGCTCTTGCAGAATAACAGAGTTGGAAGGGACCTTGGAGGTCTTCTAGTCCAACCCCCTGCTCAAGAGAAGCCTCTATACCATCTCAGACAAGTGGCTGTCCAGTCTCTTCTTAAAAGCCTCCAGGGATGGAGTACCCACAACGTCTGAAGGAAAAGCTGTTCCACTGCTTAATTGTCCTCACTGTTAGGAAGTTTCTCTTGCTTCTCTCCTTAGTTTTGCTAGTGTGGCTACAACCTGCACTCAGAACCCGAAATGTGTCCAGCAAGTCCATCCTGGAGAGGGATCTCCGTATTTGGGAGTGGGGGGGGCGACATTCTGTGCAGTGCCCCACAGATGGCAAAGAGCCATGGGAGACAGCTATTATAGTTGGTAGCAAATGAAAATTAATTTTCCATTAAATTGGGTGGGTTGTGTGTGTGCCCCATTTACTACACAGGAATGGATTGGGGGGAGCTGTCCCTGGCTTATTCCTGCAGAAGTTGGGCTCCTCTCATTCTTCAACTAGCTAAGAGAGTTGCCTGAAGCATTTCGGGGTTTAATAAGTGGTGATGGAGGTTTCTAGAATGGCATGTGGAGAGCCGAGAAAAGCTCTCCCAACTCAGCCTGTGATCTCCAACAGCAGCCTTTGCCGTTTCTCGGGGGGCCATCGAAGGCGAAACGCCTCCCCCCCTTTGGCACTTGCTACAGACAGGGAAGCAGTTGGATCTGCGATGGTTCTGCACCCAGAACACACTTCTTGGGGCACCAGTGCCACGGGGCAGTTCAGGTTTCGGACACTGGCTTGAGAAAAACAACACCTGCTGAAGTTGTAGGTACACACACAGAGACACCCCCATCTCTTCGGTCTGTTCCAGGGGCAAAGATCTAAAAGAGCAGCGGGAGCAGAAAGCCAACGAGCGCGAAATGCAGCGGATCACTTTGCCCCTCTCGGCTTTCAGCAATCCGGCCTGCGAGCTGGTGGAGGAGAACGTCATTGTGGTGCACACAAACCCCACTCCGGTGGAGGAGATTCAGGAGGGCAACACTCCACTCATGGGCCAGGCCGGCACTCCGGGGGCTTGAAGGAGAGGCGCCCCCCCCCACCCCCGGACCTCTGAGGCGGACGCCTCTTTGCCTCTCCATTTACCCCGAGGATCCATTTGTATTTTGCTTTTCCATTTGAAGACAGGCCAGCCGGACAGACAAAGCGCCCAGGAACAGCTCTCCAGAGCGGAAAGAGCACCGGGGCTGCCCCTCCAGCCAGCAGCAGCTCTGCAGGGGGCCTGTTTGAGGCCAGGGGCCGGGTCAGACTTTGGGAGGGTCTGCTGCTGCCTCCGTTTCTTTGGTTGTGGGGCCTGCCTGTTGCCTGAGCAGGGCTTTACTGAAAGGGTTTGTGCAAGGATCTGATCCTGCACACATTGTAGCTGCTGAAAAGGCTGCGTTTCCCTTCAAAGTGGCCACGCCATGGCCAGCCCTCCAGTCTGGAGCCAGACAGAGACCCCTCTCCCTGCTCCCCGGGGCGGAAGTGGCCAGGCCTGTCTGAGCAAAGGGGAGATGCTGGGGGGCAGCACCAAAGGCTTGGAGATGGAGAATCGCCCTGGAAGGGCTTTGGGTAGGGCTGAAATGGCCGGCCGGTGTCTCTTGTGCCAGCAAGGAAGCAACTCCAGCTATGCTATTTTTTTAAAAAAACCTTTTACCACTCAAGGGAGGGAACTGGGACTTGGATGCCAAAAGCCGAGGTTTCTTACAAGTTCTGTTTATGCAGGTTTAGAGGTTTTTTAAAATCTTTTAAATGCCTTTGGATACCATTTATTTCTAAGTGTTTTGAATACCTCATACCTAAAAATAAAACTATTTCAGGTTGTAAGTGTCTTGTTTGGTGGGATTCACCTCGCTGCACCTGGGGGCCCACATACCCCCTCTCTTTCCAGCTGCCGCTCTGCCAACTGCCCATCAATTGCCCAGTCCTCCCAAGAGTCTCTTCACCAGATCTTCTGAAGTTGTGGCAGACTCCTTTATGGTCACCAAAGAAAGCCTCCGCCCCAAGGGGCTGGCGGTCCCCCAACCCTCACCCGTGAGTGACAAGCCCTGTGGGGCTTGACAAAGAGAAGAGAAAGAGAGGAGAGAGGGAAACAGAAAAAGAGGAAAGAGAAAGAGGGGAAAGAGAGAAAGTTACAGGAAAGAGAGGAAGAGAAGAGAAAGAGGAAAAAAAGAAAAAGAGGAAAGAGAAAAAGAGGAAAGAGAGAAAGAGAAGAGAAATAGAGGAAAGAGAAAGAGGAAAGAGGGAAAGAGAAAGGAAAGAAAGAGAAAGAAAGGAAAGAGAGAAAGGAAAGAAAGAGAGGAAAGAGGGAAAGAGAAAGAGGAAAGAAAGAGAGNCCGAGCCGCGGCGGGCGGCGCCCTGCGGACCGGGTGGCCTCCGTCCCCGGTTGGGCTGCCTGAAAGGGGCCCGGGCAGCGCCGGCGCGGAGTTGGGCTCCTCCGGGGGTCGCGGGCCTTTCTCAGGCAGCCCGAGGGGGAGCTGCCGAAGCGCCGCGGGGCTTCTGGCCCGACTGGACTCCCGCCGCCGCCTCTGCCCTCCCTGGGCAACCATTCGCCCAGTGTTTCTCAACCTGGGCCACTTTCAGATTTGTGGACTTCAATTCCCAGAATTCCCCAGCCAGAATAGCTGGCTGAGGAATTCTGGGAGTTGAAGTCTACCCATTTTAAAGTGGTCCAGGTTGAGAAACACTGCATTAGCCTGACGTGGTCGAGGGTCTCCCGCCTTGAGCAGGGGGCTGGACTAGACGACCTCCCAGGCCCCTTCCGACCCTCTTCTTCTATGATTCCTCGGCAGATTCCACCGCGGGCTCGCCGGGCTCGCCGGCCCTGCCTACCCGGACGCCCGCCGCCCAGGAGCCGCCTGAAGAAGCCTTGGAGGCCGCGCGGGGCGAGTCGGGCGCGGTGCAGCCGGTGGTGGGCATCAGCCAGAGGGTCAAGACGAGGCCGGGCGAGAAGAAGGACCTGGGCACGCTGGGTGAGCGGCGCGCTTGGGGGGCGTCCCTGGAGCGGCTCCCGGGACCCCGGTGAGGCTCTCCTGCGCTTCTGGCTTCTCCGGGAGCGCTTTCCGAGGTCCTGGATTGCGCGCGCGCGCGCGCACACACACACACACACACACACACACACACACACACACACCTGCAGAGTGGCCGCTGCTACTCCTTTGCCCTCTTGGGGGAGGGCTACAACCTAGAAGGTGCACAGGCTCAGATGGGGGGGGCACTAACCTCACTGCTTTTTCTTTTCCACCATAGGCTATGTGTTGGGCATTATCATGGTGGTAGTCCTCATTGGCATCGGAGTGGGGATTGTGGTGGGATACCTGTACAAGAGGCAAGTACCGGGGAGCAGCCCTTTATTCCCAGGGGGTTGGGGATGGGGGGCACCTAATAAATGGACACTTCAGCCTCAGCATCCATCTTGTCTGGAAAGGAAGTGCGTGCGGGTTACAGGGTGTGTGTCTTTGTGTGTCTTTTCCTGTTTTAAGGTCTGTTGTGCCTGTGTGCGTCTCTCTCTACGCAATACTTGCCTTTGGTTAAATAGTTTCCTTGAGTTTTCTGAGGTTTTGCATGTGGGGCTCAGACCCACTTTGGTCTTAGTCGAGTGGGGGGCTTTTTTGTTCTCTCATGAGGCAGAACTTTTGGGAATTGGTCAGGAACCCACTGCTCTTGCAGAATAACAGAGTTGGAAGGGACCTTGGAGGTCTTCTAGTCCAACCGCCTGCTCAAGAGAAGCCTCTATCATCTCAGACAAGTGGCTGTCCAGTCTCTTCTTAAAAGCCTCCAGGGATGGAGTACCCACAACGTCTGAAGGAAAAGCTGTTCCACTGCTTAATTGTCCTCACTGTTAGGAAGTTTCTCTTGCTTCTCTCCTTAGTTTTGCTAGTGTGGCTACAACCTGCACTCAGAACCCGAAATGTGTCCAGCAAGTCCGTCCTGGAGAGGGATCTCCGTATTTGGGAGTGGGGGGCGACATTCTTTGCCTCACAGATGGCAAAGAGCCATGGGAAACAGCTATTATAGCTGGTAGCAAATGAAAATTAATTTTCCATTAAATTGGGTGGGTTGTGTGTGTGCCCCATTTACTATGCAGGAATGGATTGGGGGGAGCTGTCCCTGGCTTATTCCTGCAGAAGTTGGGCTCCTCTCATTCTTCAACTAGCTAAGAGAGTTGCCTGAAGCATTTTGGGGTTTAATAAGTGGTGATGGAGGTTTCTAGAATGGCATTTGGAGAGCCGAGAAAAGCTCTCCCAACTCAGCCTGTGATCTCCCAACAGCAGCCTTTGCCATTTCTCGGGGGGCCATCGAAGGCGAAACGCCTCCCCCCCTTTGGCACTTGCTACAGACAGGGAAGCAGTTGGATCTGCGATGGTTCTGCACCCAGAACACACTTCTTGGGGCACTAGTGCCACGGGGCAGTTCAGGTTTCGTACACTGGCTTGAGAAAAACAACACCTGCTGAAGTTGTAGGTACACACACAGAGACACCCCCATCTCTTCGGTCTCTTCCAGGGGCAAAGATCTAAAAGAGCAGCGAGAGCAGAAAGCCAACGAGCGCGAAATGCAGCGGATCACTTTGCCCCTCTCGGCTTTCAGCAATCCGGCCTGCGAGCTGGTGGAGGAGAACGTCATTGTGGTGCACACAAACCCCACTCCGGTGGAGGAGATTCAGGAGGGCAACACTCCACTCATGGGCCAGGCCGGCACTCCGGGGGCTTGAAGGAGAGGCGCCCCCCCCACCCCCGGACCTCTGAGGCGGACGCCTCTTTGCCTCTCCATTTACCCCGAGGATCCATTTGTATTTTGCTTTTCCATTTGAAGACAGGCCAGCCGGACAGACAAAGCGCCCAGGAACAGCTCTCCGGAGCGGAAAGAGCACCGGGGCTGCCCCTCCAGCCGGCAGCAGCTCTGCAGGGGGCCTGTTTGAGGCCAGGGGCCGGGTCAGACTTTGGGAGGGTCTGCTGCTGCCTCCGTTTCTTTGGTTGTGGATCCTGCCCGTTGCCTGAGCAGGGCTTTACTGAAAGGGTTTGTGCAAGGATCTGATCCTGCACACATTGTAGCTGCTGAAAAGGCTGCGTTTCCCTTCAAAGTGGCCACGCCATGGCCAGCCCTCCAGTCTGGAGCCAGACAGAGACCCCTCTCCCTGCCCCCCGGGGCGGAAGTGGCCAGGCCTGTCTGAGCAAAGGGGAGATGCTGGGGGGCAGCACCGAAGGCTTGGAGATGGAGAATCGCCCTGGAAGGGCTTTGGGTAGGGCTGAAATGGCCGGCCGGTGTCTCTTGTGCCAGCAAGGAAGCAACTCCAGCTATGCTATTTTTTAAAAAAAAAAACCTTTTACCACTCAAGGGAGGGAACTGGGACTTGGATGCCAAAAGCCGAGGTTTCTTACAAGTTCTGTTTATGCAGGTTTAGAGGTTTTTTAAAATCTTTTAAATGCCTTTGGATACCGTTTATTTCTAAGTGTTTTGAATACCTCATACCTAAAAATAAAACTATTTCAGGTTGTAAGTGTCTTGTTTGGTGGGATTCACCTCGCTGCACCTGGGGGCCCACATACCCCCTCCTCTCTCTTTCCAGCTGCCTCCTGTCCAAGGCTAGCCCCCCCCTCAGGTTGCCAATACTCATTCCAGCCCAGACATCCCCCCTCTCCCCCCCCCATCAAAAGGCTTAGGATTTGCTCTACCAACTGCCCATCAATTGCCCAGTCCTCCCAAGAGTCTCTTCACCAGATCTTCTGAAGTTCTGGCAGACTCCTTTATGGTCACCAAAGAAAGCCTCCGCCCCAAGTTCCCTGTTCAAGAGCAGGTCTGTTTATTCCCCTTTTAATGTCCTACTAAAAGCAGCTTCCCTCAGTGGGCATTACAAAGAAAAGCAAGTGAATTTGTGCAACAACACAAGCCCTGGCAGCACAACCACAAACTCAACAGTGCTCTTGTTCTTTGCAATGCAAGTATTGTCAACCCGGAGTAGGAAATGGACCAAACCCCCACAAAAAGCCCTTGGGGGTCAGCTCCGAACATGGCTTCAAGAAATATCTACTTTCATCTTTCTAGAACAAAGTTTATTGCTTTTAATTTAAACAAAAAAATCTGCTGTGCGCTTACAACAGTTGGGTCACATCTCTTGAACAAATGATCCAGGTTTCCTGCAGCTGGCCCGTTTATAGCACGTGTGTGTGTGTGTGCACCTTTTCAGAATGGAATGAAATCTGGTCTAAAATGCAGTGGGCTTGGCACAGTTGCCTAGACCTGCTGTACAGGGACCCAGCATTTTGAGTTCTTGAGCATGAAGGGGGCATGAAGGTACCCTCCAGATACCACTGAACTACAACGCACAGCATTCCCCAATCTTGGGACGTGTGGCCAGGCCTGCTGGGAGATGTTCAATATCCAGGGGTCTAAATGTTGCCCACCTTTCTGTAGCTCTTAGTGTATTTTGCAGAGAGGGGAGAGATGCAACCAGCGCAGCTCCCTCTCTGCATCTGGAAGAGGGAGGGGAAAGGCGGCCCCAGCCAGGTGTTCCTCTGAAAGGAGAGGGGCCTGAAATGGAGGACAGAGGTAGTGACTCTATAATGTGCCAGTCTTTCAGGTCTGTGGCCCAGGTTGATCGCTCCACTCCTGGTCAGCTACAAATAGTTTGGGAAGAGGAGCACTTCCAGGGATCCACCTCCACCAATCCCCTCCCTCAAGTGGAGAAGCTGCCCAGTCTAGCCCCCAGCCCATGTCTGTGGTCCTACAGCCCCTGGGCCACAGCTGCTTGGCCAATAGGGTAGACAGATGAAATACCATGTAGTGCATTGAGTTCTCTGGCCGGACAGATGGTGGTTTGGAGCTGTTGCTGGGAGACAAACTGCAAAATTCAACCGTCTCCTCTGCAGAGGTGTGTGCAAGCAATCCAGGTTGCCCTCCCATTGCCTGGTCTAGCAGAACAGGGAGTCCCAGTCAAAGGCAACCCCAAGGTTTGTATCCTGGCTGGTCTCGGCCTTGTGAGCCCAACCAGGAGGCTTCACAACCTGTAGTGTATTGTGTTGGAAGGCAGGTCCACACCCCGACTCTTGGGAACTGTGTTTCCAAAGACAGAGCATCTGCACTGAGAAGTGAGTGGCGCGAAGAAGAGGCTGATGCTTTCAGGAAGTGCCTCACGGGAGGTGGCGGTGATGGAGAGAAGCGCCGAGGCGGAGGAGGACTTCTTCCTGTTGTCACCAAAAGGACGGGACGGAGATTTTTCTGCTGCCTCCAGGACAATCCGTGGAAAGAAGATGAGCAGCGATGGCCGAGCGGTGGGACTATGTCAGACTGCCAGAGTGCTTGTCCCGAATCAGGCCAAACTGCACGCTCACGCTGTGGTCCAGTTCCTCCAGTTCTGAAGGGAGAGGAATGCCCAGTTCTCCCAGGTACAAAGAAAGGGCTTCAAAAGAATCCTCCAGTTTGGAAAACGGGGGCCTAGGAGGGAACGCAGGAGAAGGAAAGGTAGCAATGGGGCCCTCCTGACAGCAGCAGCAGCCATTAGCAGACGACCGAGCAGCATTGCAAGCCTTTCTCCAAAACAGAGCTGGCTCTAAATCTCCATTCTATGCCGGGTTATGATCCCTTCTGCCCCAGCCTCTAGAGGATCAGGCCCCGAACCTGAGTGCTCTGCTCTGCTGGGAATGCACGAGAGAACGAGGGGCACCTAGTGGGCCAGCTACATGCAGCAATGGGGCTGCCTTGCCTCCCATTCCCTCTCCTAAATGGCTTGCTGTCATGTGTCTGATTAACGAAACACTTAAAAGGACTTTCAGGCATTTTTTTTATCCTAAAAGCATTTATTAAGGTTACAGAGATGTCAGTACGGCATGGTGGAAATGCTTAGATCTGAGATTCTTTTCCGTTGCACATACATTCCAGGCATTTTTCCCTCCCCTATTTTGGGGTCATGGTTCACATCTTCCAATTAACTTGGAAGATGTGATTCACTTCCGGTTTCTTTTTCCCAGGCTTTCCTTATTCTCCTCCCCTTTCCCTGTTGCCTGATTTAACTATAAAAATACCAGACAGTTCTGCATATTGTCAAAGCAAGAATGTACAGTATTTGCAGCGTTGACACTTGCTTTCAGCCCCCCAAAGGGAGTGGGGCAGAAAAGGACACCCCCATCCTCCCCCACCCCTGTAGACTGACCTGCTCTCTGGCTCCAGCCTGCAGCAGATGGCTGCCAGAGGGAAGAAGCCCGAAGGACAGTCCACCGGGACAAACTTCTCCCAGAACAGCTTCACGTTGAGGCCAAAATCCAGGGTGCGAGGGAGACAGTCTGGGTCAGCATACACTTGTCCTATGATCTGGAGCAGAACAATTAGCCATCATTCCCTCCAGGCACCTCAAGCAGGACGTGTGGCTCAGCTGCCTGCTGCTTCTGCTGACTCAATCATGGTTTCTTCAAGAAAGGCGCCTGAGGCCTAAGCAGGAGGCAACTGCGCGCATCCAAGTACCCCAAGGCTCCCTTCTGACACCCCCTCTTGGCAACCTTCACTGGGTGCCACAGTGTTTATTCCTGCTAGCTTGGCTTTTGTTAAGCAGATCGGTTGCCCCAAGGGTCCCTCCCGACAGGCACCGTTCAGGGCCAGGCAACTTCCCCCTACCTCGGAAGATGGATGAGAGGGACTGAACTTAGTTGGAGAAGACAACCTTGAAAGATTTGGATTTCTAGGCCTGTTATTTTCTCAGCCTTTCCCCAAAGTAAGAGAAAATTATACTGATGCTTTGCTGGAGCAACTACCAGAAAAACCAGCGTATGTTTTCACTTATGGTAGATATGCTCAAGCCTTAGAAACTACACGGAAGGAGTGGTTAGTATTTACAAAAATTGTTAAAGAATCCAGAATTCAGAATGGACCCACTGCTAGCTTTGTTCGAAATAAGTCACTGTAGAAAAATTGGAAGTCAGCCATGAGTCCTGTAATATATGGTATGCTGCCCACAGTTTTCTCTGAGAGAGAAGGGTGGTTAAGAAATACAAAATATAAACAAATAATAATCTTTGATTTATCATACACAAGCTTTTAGCGATGAAAAATAAATTGCAGTCAAAAGCTGTCCGTTTGTTATCCCTGGGTTCGTTATCTCTGATACGGGAAGATATGTGCTAAAAACTGCAGTTGCTATGCAGTGGGTTAGATTATAAAAATTATAATTTCTTATAATCTCTTTCTAAGAAAAATATTGAAATGGAAGAACTATTTGTACGCTTCTGAGAGCTCCACATTATCTTTCAGAGAATTCTCAACCAATCTGCCAGAGCTGCCCTAAACTCCCAGAGGGGTTTCGGCTTCCCCTCCTGCAGTCTTCACCCCCTTAAGTCCAAAGACCGAGTCCATCGACCAAGAGGGTCTGACTGCCAGCCCATTTGGGAAATCCTGATGGTCAACCGGTGTGCCAAAAGACCCCAAGCAATTGCGCAAGCGTTAGCCAACTGGGGTGACTGCAGTCCTTGGCCGGGAAAGGCGAGCCGGCAACTCCGTTCTTAGATGAACAGCCCAAACCAGAGACAAACAGACAAGCCCACTTTTGTGGTTGACCCCTGAATCTTCCTTTAAACAATCCAAAAGGCAGTCCACGCCCACCCTCACTTTTTTCTCTCTAGCCCTGGCAGCACAGCCTTTACAGGAGGCTGGCTGGTGAAATGCTAAGGGACACAAAGCCGGAGGTTCCCAGGTGTGGTCCCTGGCATTTGCCAGAACAGGACTGATCCTCAAGCCCCCCCCACCAATCCCCTCAAGGGGCCAAGCTTACCTCGCAGAGCATTATTCCAAAGGAGAAGATATCGACCTTCTCGTCGTAACTCTGTCCTGCAAGAATCGAAAACAGCCAGGAGGGGAGGGCGCGTCAGTAAAATAGAGAAAATATGGATGGAAACCAACGCAGGGCTGGGGGAGAAGGGAGCATGGAAGAACAGGGGTGTCCTCCTGCCCTGCAGGGCGGGGGCAAGTATCCTGCTTGGGTCCAGCTGCTGAGGAGCCCTGGGAGCCTCCGCAGGACACCCCCACTCAGCCTGGGAGGGGAGGAAGAGGAGAGAAAGAGCTTCCCTGTCAGTACCAGGGCACCCCTTCCAGAAGTCGCACTCCCCAAAAGAACATCAGGCCCAGATGTGCTTCCCCCACCAAACGGGGAGGGGTGGGAAATGAGGAGAAGGGAGGCAAGGCCTGTCAGCCTTTGAGGTAGTCCAGAGAAGAAGGACCCATATATGAGCGCTAACATGACTTCCACTGTAAGGCGACAGTAACACAATCTTGCAAGTATGACAGCCTGTCCCCCCCTCCCTTACTCTTCCCTTCCAAAGAACGAGGGAGGGCCCCTTCCAAGAAGCTTGCTTCCCCCCCCCCCCAAGGCTTGTCAGACGCTATCCTGACTGTGGCTCTACCTCCTGTCTGGTATGCAGATCATTGCTGCATACCACTAGGCAGTCCTCGACTTACGACCGATTCCTTAGCAACTGTTTCATGTTAGGACGGACCCACCTTGGGGCTACTTATGACCTGGATTTGAAGTTCCAACAGTCCCCCCCCCCCAAGACATGTGAGTGAACTTTGGGCACTCGGCAACCAGGTTACATTATAGTTGTTTGCAGCATCCCACATTTACGCGACTGTGTTTTACAACAGTTTTGTCAAACACCAGTTTTTCAGCAAAACTGCACCCACAGCGAACCACGGGTTCACTTAAGGACCACCACAAAAAAGGTCACGCAATCTCAGGCTCCATTCCGGTCTTAGGGCAAGGACCACCTGCGCAGAGCCCACGAGAGGACAGACCAACCACTGCCAAAGGCACACAACCAAGAGGTGAGTTCTGCAGGCTCCTCCGTGGCCCCAGGAGGAGGGGGGGGCTCCTACCATTCAGCATCTCGGGGGCCATCCAGTACGGGTTCCCGACCACAGTGTAGCGCTTCCTCCGGTCGCTCTTGCGCAGCGTCCGCTTCTTGGCCAGGGGCTTCTCCAGGGAGGGCTTCTTCCTCTCCTCCACAATCAGCCGAGAGAGGCCGAAGTCAGCAACCACCACCGTGCTGTCCTGGGCCAAAGGAAGGCGAAGCAAAATCCACAAGAATTAGGAAGCCCTGCGGGGAAGGCCTGCACCATTCGGGATGGAGGAAACCTGATGCTGAGAGCAGACACCGCTGTGCCACGCTCTGGGGACCCATTTCGTGCACCGCCCAGGGGCACAAGAGCTCCCCCCCCCGTCCCTTCTCCAGGCAGCTCCCCTGGGCCCTTCCGGCCTTCACCCACGGCCAGCGGTTCTTGGGTTCTCAGGCCTGATGGCTTTTCAGCTGTACTGACATTAGATTTGTTTTATCCAAGTGCACGTAAAACAATGAAAAATCTCCAGTTTAGGCCTTCTCCATTCATTGGTCCTCAAAGAATTTTACAAGTTTTGTTTGCCTTAAAAAAGCAAAACAAAACGGGGGGGGGGGGGGTATCAATCTGGGACCCTGAAATAGCAAAGGATGACCTCTGATATTCATCATTTTTCAGGGGTCTCCAAACTTGGCAGCTTTAAGACTTGTAGACTTCAACTCCCAGAATTCCTCAGTCAGCTATACTGAGCTATGTCGACTGAGGAATTCTGGGAGTTGAAGTCCACAAGTCTTAAAAGTTGCCAAGGTTGGAGACCCCTGATTGATATCTTCCTTGAGTTGTTAAATTAATGAACGGGCTTTGATTCATATTCAATATTCTCAAGGAACGTGATTGTGGATGAGTTTGCCATTCTCCCACTCAAAGTGGGATCCACGATCAAACTAGTTATAGTAACGATCAGATTGATTGGCACTCATGCTTCTCAAAGACTAAAGCACCCTATTAAAGGGTTTCTTCTTTTCTGGGGACAGGGATCCCCAAATTCATTATCAGTTGTAAAACAATTCCTCAATGGTCAAATGCTTATGTTGGGCTCAGCCCCAATCAAGAAGTGGGTTCTGGCCATTCTTGGGTACTCTTGGGTACTCAAGACAGGAGTTGAGTTGCTGCAACCTGCTGACACATTAATAACACTGTCCTGGGCGCCACTCTAATGGTTGGTGCATTGTTAGGTGCGTTTTCCAATTGTGAGACCTTTGTGCAAATCCAACCTGAGGCAGGTGCCTCCCAGGGAAAGAGGCGGGACACCCAAAGAGCCCCCAGTCTCCTAGGACTTTGGCAGCTGAGCAGGAAGCAGACCTGGCCATGCAAGCACTTACCAGTTTGATCAGGCAGTTGTGGGAGTTCAGATCTCGGTGAATGATGCGCATGGAGTGCAGGTAAGCCTGCAAGTGGGAGAAGCCAGAGGTGAAGACAAGGCGCCATTAGTCTCAGCTGCTGCCCCAGGAGCCTTTGGTGCTGGCCTCTGAGCAGCCCAAGGGATGGGGGGGGGGACAGCACAGCCCAAGGGCTACCTTGGCCCCTGGAGGCCTTCCCTGGGAGGGGCTGATGCCTTGAGGCAAGGCTGCTGGAGAGTCAGAGGAGGGAGCAACCCTGCACCAAGAAGAGCCCCAAGGGCTGGGGGGGAGAAGCTGTGGGGCTGGGTGATGGACTGAGACTGAGGACTCGGATTCTAGTCCTCCTTGGACCTAGCCTTCCTCATCAGATTACAGCAGGGCTAAAATGCAGGCAGATCTCATTCTTTGTGCTTTGAACGTCCAAGAAAGGTACCATAAAGGCAACCAACTCTTGCGTCATCCTCGCTTTGGAAAACACACGACTCACTAAACCTCAAATGCTCCCCCAGGACATTCTGTGAGTCCAGACCGGTTTCAGCAAACCTTCCAACCGCAGCCGAATGGGCTGGCCATCCACACTCTCCCCTCTGGGCAATTCAGCCCCTGCCCCTCAGACACGCCCTTCGCAAGGCCAGGAGGGGGTCTGGAACGAAGGCTCACCATTCCAGAGGCAATTCCTTTGGCAAAGCTGACCTTCTGCTCCCAAGGAAATGGATCCTGCAAGGAAAAAAGGCTCCCTTCGTTACCTTGTCTTCAAGACAGGGAGGGATGCCAAAGCTTTGGCCATCACAGCAGTGGTGGGCATGTCAAAACTGACAAACTTTTACTAATGCGTAGAGCAGAATGCAGGCAGGACATGAAACAGGATTTTCTGCAGGTGATTGATGCAGAACTGTCCTTCCCAACCTGCCTGCAGAAAGTTCCTTCAGTGCACGCCAGGAATTTCCTCCTCTTAAAATATCTTTTAAGGAAGAGGATGAAATTCCTGCTGTGTACTGAAGGAATTTCATAATGATAACCTGGCAAAGGTTGCAAAGCAAAACTGTATGTCCGGAATCATTTCCCCCCCCCCCCAGGAATGTTTCCCCAAATGAACCCTCAGATGAGTGTTTTAGAAAAACAAGATTATCTTGATGAAAAAACCCAGGAACCATTATGTAGGTAAAAGGAGCTGGAAGATTGTTTAAAGTTGAAAAGAGCAAAACAACATTTGAAAGCAGTTCAGGCAGGTGTCTCCTCAATTCACCGGATTTTAAGGAGGTGGTGAAAGTTCAATCAGATTTGCAAGACTGGTGGCAATCCCACTAGGCCAGGGGTAGGCCACCTTGGCTCCTTTATGACTCGTGGACTTCAACTCCCAGAATTCCTGAGCCGGCATGGCTCAGCATGGAAACCTCTCCCTTTCCCCTCAGCATGGCTGGCTCAGGAATTCTGGGAGTTGAAGTCCACGAGTCATAAAAGGGCCAAGGTTGCCTACCCCTGCACTAGGTAGACCAGCCAGGAAACCAACTCCTTGGAAATGGGTTTTTTTTTTTTATCAAAATGGGTTACCATAACAGAACCTTGCCAGTGAATTAGAAAGGGGTCCACCTGAGCCACCTCTGGATGTTATGTTGTTGTTCTGGACTTCCAACGGGCTCCAGCCCCTTTTGCCCAGGCAGCAGGTCCTGCCTAGCCCCACCAAGGCCGCCTTCCCTGGTCTCCATAAGGGCACACAGGAGGCCCAGAGCAAATGGGCCGGATCCAGGATTCTTGCGGTGAAGGGGGCAAGTGACTCAGTTTTCCTTTAGTAAGTGGGGCATTTTGTGATTGTCAATGCTGACTACGTCATCCATCTTGTAAAAGGTCCAGGATTTGCCATCAAATTTCACACAGCCCAGAAGGGCTACTACCCTTGTTCTAAAAGGAATAATTTGAAAGGGAGAAAAGCCATAGCAGGTGTTGGTGGGCTTCACACCCCATGCTAGGCCAAGGTTTGTTGAAAAAGCCACGACTGCCCTGCTTAAGCCAGAAACGAAACCCTTTTTTTCATGATTCCACGAGCCAGCCATGGGGTGGGATTGCATTTCGTGATGTTTTGGCCGTGTCTTTCCCAAGGACCTTCTTTCCCCTGGCCCGGCCTACCGAGGCTGCAAGAGACGGCACCCACCGCATTCCGGAGGAAGTCCTTCAGAGTCCCCCCTTCGATGTACTCGGTGAGAAGATTCAGCTTCTTGTCCTTGTACAAGACCCCGATGAACTTCAGGACGTTGGGATGCTCCAGGCTGCGCATCACTTTCACCTGCAAGAGAGAGAACCTCCCAAGCTTGGAACAAAGTGAAGCCGTTGCCTCTCCCCCAGGGACCCTGCTTTTGCAACCAAAATAACACCAAAATAACTGGGGTACCAAAAAGAAAATCAGCCAATGTCCAAGATCTAAGTCACTTTCCTCTGGTGGGGCCTTAAGCGACAAGGCTGCTGAAAGGAAGTGCTGTCCAGTGCCTGGACATCTTCAAGACAGCCCTTTCCAGAAACGGTACTCACCTCGGTTAGGAAGGTCTTCTGTGTTTCTTCATCACAACGAATCAGTTCTTTCATCACCATCACCTTTCCTGTGGCTTTGTGAGTCACCTGATGAATAGAAGAGCATTGCATCCATTTAAGAAGCCCAACTGGAGGAGAACAGTTGGGGTTCTTCTAACTTTGCCCAGTTAAATCACTTTTAATTCCCTGTAATTCTGTCTGGAGCCCTGGAAAAAAAGCCCCTCCGCAGGTTGATGAGGGATAGGAAGGAAGCCATGCTTGGAAGCCGAGGCAGTTTTTCCCTCCCATCAACGGCTTAGCACATCATTTCCTGCTGTGACCAGGGTTTCCTTCTGCTCCTCCAAGATTTGAAAGTGTTGCTCCATGGTGGAGTCAAGATCTCCAGCAAGTGACCTGCTGCTAGGGCTGCAGACAACACAACAAGCAAGGGAGAGATTCAACATGAACGTGGTCAAGAAAATCCGGTGTGGGCTGGCACTGGGGAGAGCTTCTTCCTTTCTGCTCTTCAACTACAGGTTGCCCCGAGGGAGCAAAGATGACTTTACACTTTTCAAGCTGAAAATAAAACAGGTTCTATGCCTCTTCCAGCAGCAAGCACTGGTGTCTCTGTGTTGCACTGACACTCCTCACGGCTCTGGGCACAGGGAGGCCTATGCTGCTCCTTGGCTCGTGTGGTGCACTGGAAGACCTTTAAATGCCTTCATGGCCACAAAAAAGGAAACAATTTGCTTTCTGCTTAAAAATTCCCCTTTCTACCATCCACACATGGGGGTACTTTTCACACTAGGACTGGTGGCACTCATAACAGGAGCATGGAAAAAGAATGCATAGCTCGAGCGTTATTATTTTGCCTAAGAGCTGCTCTTTTTCTGTTGGGTTGGCTGGTTCGGCTCAGCTAGGAGGCTCCAGCTAGTTCTGGATCTGGAGCTGCAGAGTCAGCATTTGCCTTGTGAAAGCAGCCTTTGTAAAATGCCCTGACAATCTATGGAAGGAAAGCCTGGCTACTTGAGCTCTCCCCACTCGATTCCCTCCCTCTTTCCGGCACCCAGGCAAGCCTAACGAGCCTGAGCATCGTGCAGAAATAATTATGTTAAAAGAAGCCTTTGATTCAAGGACCTTCATGCACCAAGACACACCACATGTTTCATTAGCCAGAAGAATTTTCCTAGAACTTAGTCTGTAACCTTTCATCCAGTAGCTTTTGGCCAATGTTATTTGTATTCACAGGGCCTATTTGGCTATGCGCTTATTTTTTTTTTATTTTTTTTAAAATAGCTGTAACACAAGCTGGGAAAGTTTGTAGGAGAGTCTTTCCAAGGAACTCGAGCTACAGCAGTGGTTCTCAACCATTTTAATGCCGCGACCCCAACCGGTCGTAAGTCGAGGACTAAACCGGTCGTAAGTCGAGGACTTTCCCTGCCCGGGAGCGCCGCGCATGCGTGGTTCCGCCCCCTGCGCCGGCCGAGGCGTAGCTGGCAAGCGGCAGAGACGGAGCAGGCCGACCACCAGCTGGCCCAGCCCAAGGGAGGTAAGGCACCCGCCGGAAAAGGGGGGAAAAAATGGCGGACAAAAAAATGGCGGACAGCCTTGCTTGGCGACCCCCGTGAAATGGTCGATCGACCCCAAATGGGGTCCCGACCCACAGGTTGAGAACCACTGAGCTACAGCAACAGTGACATTTTTGGCCTAGGACAGTGATGGCGAACCTATGGCACGGGTGCCAGAGGCGGCACTCGGAGCCCTCTCTGTGGGCACACGTGCTGTTGTCCCAGCCTTGCTTCCCCATGCGACCCCCTCCTCACCAGCAGCCCCCCTGGAGGAGAGTCGCCCCCGAGCGTGGCCCACATGGAGCAGCGCAGCCAAGGACATGGCAGCCAGGCAGCGTAGACAAGACTCTGCCCTCACGCCCCATCACACACAGTTGATGCTGTGGGGTGCGGGCAGAGGACATGGCCACCATGGCGCTGCTGGGCTGCCTGGGCGACCTGCAGCGGGCCCCGGAGGCGGTGAGTGGCCCTGCGGGCAGGCGGTGTGGGAGCGGGGGCAGGGCAGGGGATGGAGCGGAGGGGGGGCCAGTTTTGGGGCACTCGGTCTCTAAAAGGTTCGCCATCACTGGCTTAGGATGTGTGAAGCTGGTGGAGACCAAAAGCTTCTGCACTGCTTCAGAGACTGTCACAAGTTACGACAAGGTAGAAGACTGCTGAAGCCACAAACACGTTTAGCAAACAGCAGAGCCTGGTGCAGTTCGGTTGTGCTTTCATAGGCGAAATCAAGCCTGACAACTTGCAAGCCAGGCCCTTCCAGCACATCCCAGCAGCCTCGGAGTCAACAAGGCAGACAAGCGCCGGGGACCTCGGAGCAGGCTGCACCTTGTTGGGCTTTGTTTTCACCCTGCAGCCCTACACAAACAAGACGTGGGTTGCCTGAAGGCGTTTCAAATCAGGATATGAACACCTAATGTGAGGACTTCAACTCCCAGAATTCCTGAGCCAGCAGGGCTCTTTTATGGCTGGCTCAGGAATTCTGGGAGGTGAAGTCCACACGTCATAAAAGGGCCATGGTTCCCCACCCCTGCTGTAAGAGGACTAGTCTTAAAACAACTTATTCACTTCAGCACGAATTTCTTAAACTACATATCACCAAATACAGAAGAAGGTTCAGGAGAAAGTCCTCTGAGATGATACAACTAGTGGTAAGCCATCTGTTTATATTAAATACATAAATTTCTCAGACTGTTGTAATTTGCAATCCCTTTTGTCTTTCTCACTGACAATTGTAAGTCTGGCATGTTTCGTGGCAGGTGACCCATCTGTCTGAATCCTGGAGAGTGGACTCAGTACTCTGAAGGCAGCAGAATAAAAGAGAAGGAATTGGAGAAGATAACAAAATACAAAGACCTGCAAACAGAAATAGAGCGACTGTAGCAAGAGGAAACAAAGGAGGTACCAATAGTAATAGGCACTTTGGGTCCAATCTTAAAATAACTGGAACACCATTTGAACACTATCAGCATTAACAAACAATTACAAAAGGCAGCTTAATGTGGAACAGCTTCGATCCTTCAACAACACTTTTAAACCATCAAACTTCAACATCTGCCTCTCCCAGGTCCTTAGGAAGGACTTGATATTGATAGGCAGACAAAAATGCCAAATCCAATCTGAACCTGGGAGAGGGATCTTGGAGTCCTAGTGGACAATCACTTAAATATGAGCCAGCCGTGTGCTCCAGCTGCCAAAAAAGCCAACTCAGTGCTAGACTGCATTAACAGAGGGATAGAATCAAGATCACGTGAAGTATTAATACCACTTTACAAGGCCTTGGTAAGGCCACACTTGGAATACTGCATCCAGTTTTGGTCACCACGATGTAAAAAAGATATTGAGACTCTAGAAAGAGTACAGAGAAGAGCAACAAAGATGATTAGGGGACTGGAGGCTAAAATATATAAGGAATGGCTGCTGGAATTGGGTATGTCTAGTTTAACGAAGAGAAGGACGAGGGGAGACATGATAGCAGTGTTCCAATATCTCAGGGGCTGCCCCAAAGAAGAGGGAGTCAAGCTATTTTCCAAAGCCCCTGAAGGCAGGACAAGAAGCAACGGGTGGAAACTAATCAAGGAGAGAAGCAACCTAGAACTAAGGAGAAATTTCCTGACAGTTAGAACAATTAACCAGTGGAACAACATGCCTCCAGAAGCGGTGAATGCTCCAACACTGGAAGTTTTTAAGGAGAGACTGGACAGCCATTTGTCCAAAATGGTATAGGGTTACCTGCCTGAGCAGGGGGTTGGACTTGATGACCTCCAAGGTCCCTTCTAACTTTATTATTATTATTATTATTATTATTATTATTATTATTATTATTATTATTATTATTATTATTATTATTATTATTACTACTACTACTACTACTACTACTACTACTACTACTATTATTATTATTATTATGAATTATTATTATTATCTCCTAATATTACAACTCCTAACACAGTGCCTAAAAACTATTTCCAACAGCCCAGATGGTAAAATCCAAATGTAATTTCAAGAAAAATAGAAGAGTTAAAGAGTTTGTTTGATGGGCTTATAAAAAACATTGCTAAGAATGTATCATTTGACTTTAACCCAAATTGCTTAATGGCAAAAATAGAGATGGTGCTCTTTACCTATCAACACAGGTAAACTGTTCTATGCACAGCAAGTAACAGAATAAATGCTAGTATCTGCTAAACTTAATTTAAGCCAACTTCATTGCCAACTGCAAAGGGATTGGTGGTAAGAGAATCATCTGGCTTCCCAGCTATAAAGGCAGAAAGAGGATTAACCATCTGGGTCTTCCAACAACCTTACTAAGGATGAGAATCTGTCTGGGGTTCTTTGGAATTACCCCTATGTGAGTCTATGCAATGTGAGAATTCTCTCAAACAGAAATTGGGGTTTTCGCCTGGATTTACACAAAACCTCTAATAATAGATAGCAAATGCCAATCAGCCCCCCCCCCACTTTTGCTGCAGACTGAAGAATCTGTGCTTGGTCCATTTCAGCCAGGATCGATACCCTCCTACAGCCAGATGTCAAAAGGCAAACAGAAGATGTATTATCCAGGAGAGAAAATCTCAAACATGCAACGTTGCAGATTTGGGAGTCAGCAAAACCTCTGGCAACTCTAACAGGATCACAAAATAACTCTTGAGTCAATCCAGAATGGACTTTTAAAAGTCAAAGGAAAGACAATTGCTGACTTGACTCACTCCCTGTTAATGAAAGAAAATCCAAGATCTCAAAGAAAAAAAATGCTGACACGCACTGCCCCAGTTAACCTTTCTGTTTCTGAGCAGTCGCTACAGGACTCTTTCCCCCTAATAAACTTTGCAGAAAGTTAATGATCAGGAGAGGGCTCCTTTCATTCCCTCCATCTCAACAAAGCCAGCCAGTGGTGTGAGAAGAGCCTTTGAAAGCCGAACCTCTCATGTGAACATTGGTCTACAGAAGGAGAAGGCCCTTGGGGAAATTGGGACCCAGGTCATGGTACCCCAAATAACTCCTCCTAACGCCAACAAGTGGATGTTCTTGTTACACCCCGTGTTT